TGCCTCCCTTACCCATTTAAAATCATACAGAACTGGGAGCAAGGAGAGCAGGACTGGGTGCTCCATGACTGACAGGGGCACCCGGCCCCAACACCGTCCCTTAACGCTGCAGAGGGAGCGGACTTGGATTGAGGTGTCAGACACCAGACGCTCCAAGGCTGATTTTGCTACACATACACATGCACACACGAGACTTTTTAAACACGAGTCATATCTAAATAATTCTATTTAAACAAAATACTCAAATCCAAGGCCAGCAGGCAAGGGGTCAGTGTTTCCAACTCCCAGTGACAGAGTTCTCTCGAGTTCCCACGCCCACAGGGCTACCTTGCTATGAAAAGAGAAACACTGGATTTTATCTGTGCACTCAGGCTAAGGGACAGTTGTGGTTCACTCCTAGGAGGATGCACACAGAAGCCAAGGCCACCCCACCCAGCTCTCCTCCTCCCCCATTACTGCCTCATAAGAAGCCCCATCTCAACCCTACTCTGCGTGTGTCCCCTTCAGGCCCCACCCACAGACCCCCTGAGGACAAAGTATCATGCTGTGTGCTGTGACACACACACACACACACACACACACACACACGTGAGGCCTACAGATGGGTCTCATTTAGGTCAGAGGGCAGCAGTGTCCGTGTAACTCCCCACGCCGAGCACACCACAGATCCCATGACTTGAGACCGGAAGGCTGCCCAAGCACCATTACAACAGATCTAATCCCACACCACCCCGACCAATCTCCACAGCTCACAAATTCTACCAGTTCACTCACTGCCAACAATGTTGTGTAAAATTGAATTCCAGAACAATACTGGAGTTTTCACATAGATAATTAACCACTGCAGAAAGTGCCCAAGTGTCAAGCAAAAAACTAGGCCCTGTGCAGGAGTCTGCACACTTGCGTCCCCAGGAAATATACTCTGACCCCTCCTAAGCCCTCATCCCGTCAGTATGCCCTCCCAGAACCTTCCATTCTGTGCTCCGACCCCCGCCACACACACCCCTGCACGTGCCTGAGACTTCAGCGCCCCAAGGTCCTGTGGTCTTACGCCCACCTCACTGCTGGTCACAACCTCCTATTCTTCATACCCATTCTACCTACTTCTCAAACAGCAGACTGCAAACTGACTCAAGGCTGGGTCGGCGGAACAACCTGGGGCGTGGGGGCGTAGACACTTGCACTCCATCTTCACACGCTACAGACGTGACGAGGTGACCTGCATCTCTGCAAGCCCCACGGGGCCGGTGCCGGGGGACCCTTGGCTGGCAAACATAAGATGCTCCTCCGCTGCCTTGCCTCCACCAGCTGTTTCTGGCATCCTTCATGCTCCACTGAAAACACTCAGCTTTCCAGCCAGCCCGCCGCCCGGCTCAGTGAGGGTAAAGCAGGGTCAGGTCACGTCTGCGTCACTGCCAAGAGGACAAGAGGAGGGAGGAGGGCAGGCACGGCAGCCCATGCCGACCAGTCACCAGGCAGTGGCACGCGGAGCTAAGTCCAGCCAGCCTAGATTCCCTGTAGCTATCTGACCCTGTCACATTACCCATGCGACTACTTCTTCGGGAGAGACAAATTCAGCAGCCTAAAAAGGAGGCTCCACATTCCGGGAAATCCCTATTGGAAGAGAAAAAGTTCAAACCCCAAGGACTGTGCTGAGAGCCACAGGATCCGTCATTCACACAGACACTCCTTTTCACCTGCGTTGAAAACCCAATGCTATTATTTTTTATCATGGGTTAATGGTGTGGGTTTTGGGAAAAAAAAAAAAAAAGTCTGCACGACAGTCGTGAACACGAAATCACCATATATGTGCATAACGTGTGTGTGTGTGTGTGTGTGTGTGTGTGTGTGTGTGTGTGTGTGTGTGTGTGTGACTACGCCCCCTTCGAGGAGGGGAGAACAGCTTCCTGACAAGGAGCAGGGCTAGGTCTGTGCAGTAAAAAGAGGGACGGCCCATGTCACTTCACGGGCTCCCGGTGGTCTTCCACTCCAGGAGCAATTCAGCGGTGGACCCCGTGACTTCACCATCACCCCATCCTTCCCAGACTACTGCTGGCACCTCAGCAAGGGCCTACTCATGACCAGCTCTCCACGGTGTGGAAAGGCTCAGCTGACTCGCATGATAAAGGACCTTCAATGGTACCTGCCTTTATAAAGGGAATTACTAAGTGGCCCTCCCAGAGAAGTGTGCATCCTCCATGAACTGGTTCTTGTAAGACACTTTTCCCGTTTCCCAGGGAAAATATGCTGGCCCTGTAGAGGCTTCCTGTTACCACAGAAGCCGACACTTAGTCTGGGAGGCCTCTGTGATGCTAACTGTACTGGACAGGCAAACTCCTAGTTGACGCCATCATGTGCCAGGACAAAGGATGCTTCTCCTATTTAGCTCTATACTGAGTCACAAATTCCATCTATTAGTTCTCAGGCTTCAGCGAACTATTAATGTCACGCAGGTCCACAGGACCCTCTTCCAAGCATGATCATATAAAGACCTATTCACATGGGCCCAGCACAGTGGCACAGTGGTTAAAGTCCTCGCCTTGCATGCCCGGGATCCCATATGGGTGCCGGTTCTAATGCTGGCAGCACCGTTTCCCATCCTGCTCCCTGCCTGTGGCCTGGGAAAGCAGTCAAGGATGGCCCAAAGCTTTGGGACCCTGCACCCCCTTGGGAGACCCGGAAGAGGCTCCTGGCTTCGGATTGGCTCAGCTCCAGCCGTTGCGGCCGCCTGGGGAGTGAATCATTGGATGGAAGATCTTCCTCTCTGTCTCTCCTCTCTGTATATCCGCCTTTCCAATAAAAATAAATCTATAAAAAAAAGTGAAAAAAAAATTAAAAAAAAAGACCTATTCACACACAAATGAACAGTGTAAGCAGGGCCCACTTCCCGTCCAGCTCCCTGCCTGTGGCCTGGGAAAGCAGTCGAGGACGGCCCAAAGCTTTGGGACCCTGCACCCGTGTGGGAGACCTGGAAGAAATTCCTGGATCCTGGCTTTGGATCGGCACAGCACAAGCCATTGCGCTCACTTGGGGAGTGAGTCATCATCAGATGGAAGATCTTTTTCTCTGTCTCTCCTCCTCTCTTTATAACTGACTTTCCAATAAAAATAAAATAAATCTTAAAAAAAAAACAGGGGGAGAGTAAAAGGGAAACCCCAAGAGCTCTGGACTCCCTCTCTTTTGCCTAACAGAAGCTCAGGCAAGAGCAGCACCTTGGCTTTAGAAGCCTGTAGGCAGTGACAGCAGCAGTTTCCTGCGATCTGTGTGGCAGCTGACTTGGGTTGGCACAGCCAAGATGAAATGTACCTGAGCCAGGCAAAGAAAAAAATGTTTAAAGCCACCAAATATAATATTATCCAGGACACAAGCTTTGAGAGGCCAAGTCACCCAGGAGACTTGAGTGGGGACATTTTAAAGAAGCACCACTCATGGCAGGCCTGCTAATGGCTACGCAACTTCACCCCCTCCGGGCCCTCCACCTCCAACAAGGCCCGGACACTGAGGACTCCGCACGCCACACACACGCAGACGAGGAACATCCATCCACTGGAGCTGCTACCAACAGCACGCACGCAGAGGTCATCCACACTGGCACAAGGACCATGTTCACAAACAGGCCGCTTCCAGGGCAGCCAGGGGCAGGCCTCATCACTGGCCTCCCGCCCCGTTTCTGAGAAGCAGTGAGCCTTTCCCACAAGCTCCCTGCCATCTCTCACAACAGATGCGAACGGGACAGTCTTCCAGTAGTTACAACTTCACCCGCTCTTACACAGACCTGTCCTGTCCCTCGGGGCTCCCGCTAACATTCTGTAGTTGTGGGAACCTTTTTTCTAAGAATATTTATACCAGCACCCACCAGCCATACACAAAATACTCAAAAATCAGTTTGCTCTAGATTTGTTGAATATCGTATCTCACCTGTGGTGCTTTGCCAGGACCAAAGCCAAGTGACTGCATGGGCTTAAAACAGCACATAACCCTAAATCAGAACAAAAATTTAACAGAATTTCGCTTTTCTTTCGCTCTGCTTATCAGCCCAGTCAGAGCTGATATCCAATAAAAGAACCAACTGGAATCAGAAGCAGCTTCTTCGGGATGCCACTGTGGCTTTCCCAGTAAAGCTGCTGCCTGTTACTGCCAGTGTCCCACACGGGTGCTGACTGGAGGCCTGGCTGTTCCACTTTCAGTCCAGCTCCCTGCTATTTTGTCAAGGAAAGCAGAGGAGGGTGGGCCAGGTGCTTCAGCCTCTGCGTTTACGTGAGACACCCAGGAGCAGCTCCAGCCACTGTAGCCATTTGGCAGCGTGAACCAGAGGATGCAACATCTGTCTCTCCCTCTTCCTGCAACCCTGCCCATCAAATAAATAAATCAGAACAAAGAAGAGTCTTTGTTTCCCTTCTACGTTCAGGTTGTACATTTTCATAGCCACTGGCTGCATTTCAAAATGCATACTGAGGGGCTGGCACTATGGTACCATGGATTAAGCTGCTCCCTGCAACGCTGGCAAAGCCTATTAGCACCAGCCGGAGACCTGGCTGCACCACCTTCAAGCCAGCTCACTGGGAGATTGCCTGGGAGAGCAGCCCGTGGTGACCCAGGCACTTCTGTCCCTGCCATCCATTCGGGAAAGCTGGATGAAGTTCTGGGCTCCTGCCTGTGAGCTGGCCTAGCTCCGGCCACTGTGGCCATCTGAGCAAGGAAGCAGCAGATGAAGAACCCTCTTTCCACCTCTCCACCATCCAAATAAGCAAAATACATCCTTACAGACGGTACATGGAAGGACAGATAGGAGATGCTCCTCACAGGCCACGGTAACATACGAGATAAATAATACGAGAAGTCACTAACTTATATAGAAATAACAGTCACCATCTGCCACAAGTCATACTTTTTCCACGGAGAGTCACCCCAGCAAACACGGCATCCCCTCATCTCAGACACCGAACAGTGAGGTGTCGTACAGAGAGCAGATACTCCTGCAAACACAGAAATCTTAGTACCTCCGTTGGACTGTAAAATCCTCCTGGCTTAGTGATGGATTTCCGTCTCCAGTCCTGTGGCAGAAACCAACAGCTGTTAGTAACGGGGACCGGGATGAACACCGTGACACTCCTTCCCCATCCGGCACCTTGCCTGCAATGACCAATTCTGTATCTCATATTCAGGAATCCTGCTCTCAGCTGCTTCCGAGTTGGGTGAGCGGCCACACAACACAGGTGCTCAAGAAACGAGTTCCTGGCTATCTCAGTGTGGGAAGCAGCCCGTCACAGCAGCAACCCGGAGCGGCCCAGCCTCTCACGAGCACTAGCCGGGGAGCAGGCACGCTCCAAGCCTACAAACGAGCACGCCGAGCTGTGCCACCTTAGCAACCTCTAATACCGACAATTCACTTCGCATTTTTTACTTTCTAGATGAACTCATGGTAAGCATCTTCATAAACTAGTAACCTGGTAACAGCACCGAGCATTCTTCTAAAAGAACATGTAAGTAAAAAAGAAAAACAACCTGTTTTGTCCTGTGTGGGTTTCATTATACAGAAACCAAATCATCGATTCTTCCAAGGCCCCATCTTACTCCACTTCTCCTTCTCAGCCCCTTCACAGAGAGGCTCCCGCGGTTCAGAGCCTGTAGTTCCCACGCTCCCAGTGTCGGCCGACAAGGTCACGAGATGCAAAGGAAACCAAACTGAAAACTACCTGGCCTTGCTAACTAAAGCAGCCTGGACCACAAGACCATCAGCTTGGAGGAGCGTCTGGATGGCAGAAGACCTGGGCCCAAAGCAGCACTGTTCGGCAATATTTTGCAGTTGACTATTTTATGCAAATTGCAGACAAAAATTGTTCCACTCACTGACCCACGCAGTAGACTTGCCTCTGCTTCACTCCTCACTTGCCGAAGGGTTCGGGAGCAAGTTATGACAGCCGACACTGTTTCTAAAATAGAAGAAACAGAACTGAACACTAAAATCAAAAACAAACCCAGCCTCAGAATGACTCCAGGTTGCGAAGTCTTTGTGAACATAGCCACTCGCACCGTCCACGTGGCCGCAGCTCAAGCGTGTCTGTGAGATCCCGGGGTGTGGACTCCCCACTGGTGTGGTGTGTGGCACAGTGCAGCAGATCCCAGCCTGACCATCATCCTCTCCCACCTGGCGCCTGGGGATGGATCTTGGCTGCGGGGATACCTGTGGCATCCTGGCTGAACAGCGCTTCCCTGGCCCGTGGACCTCTTGCCCAGTATGGAATTCAAGGGAAAACTAGGACACAGTGCAAGACTGAAGGTAACGTTATTCACAGTAAGGGCATTAGCTCTCCCGGGAGGGAGGCCCCGGGCTGGGAAACCTCCTCTCTGCCATCATCTGTGAGGTACCGGCCCCTCACCTAGCACAGCTGCCCTGGGTCCCCCGTCTATATCCGCCAGCAGGGGACAGGGTCAGTAACTGAATTCTCCCATCTCTAGGGCAGCAAGGGTCCGTGGTTAGTTACCGCCTGGGCCACGGCGCCCCTATTCCTGCTAGGAAAGAACACAGAGCACAGCAGAAGAACAAGAGATTATGAACTTAGTCGGAGGAAACTTCAAGAAAAATCCGCAGAGGTGGCCTGGGCAGCAAGCGCGCGGCAGAGAGCAAAGCTGCAGTGAGGACCGCGCTTGCCCAGCATGAGCCAGTGAGTCGTGCACTCAGCACGCTTCCCACGGCCTTTCCAACCTCCAGGGGCTTCCTCTCGGGGGGCCAGGGAGCTGCAAAGGCGGCCAGGGGATGGGCTGGGGCACAAAAGGCAAGGGTTGACGCAGGTTCCCCAACCTCACCCAGTCCCCACACCGCCTGCGCCTCATGCCCCCGGGGTCACCAGACACCGCCTCCCTCAAAGGCCTCGGCAGAGTCCAGCCCCCACGCCACCACGGCCCACCAAGCTCCGCCAACTTCCTTCTCTTTCACGATACATTCACGTCGGTTTCCTCTCTGGCCTGCACCCCTTTCACAACACTCCATCCCCCGGGAGTCTACTCCACCTCGCCTTCTACACTATTCTCCTCCCGCCCAGGGGTGGAATTGACCCAGAATCTGATGGAAGTCCACCCTCGGCTCTAGCCCTGCCTCGGGGGGCTCGTTCCCTGCACCCCCAGCCCTGGCTCGCAGAATCCACTTCGGGGGACACCGGAAGGCCTGCAGGCAGCTCTGCCCCACCGGTCCCGCGGACCACCGCAGTTCCCTAACTGTGAGGGCCAGGGGGTCGTGCGGCCGCCCTGGCCGCCCCGTTACGCGGCCACCTCTCCAGCTGCCACGCACGGCCGCCCTCCCTCCCTCAACAGGACGCGTTAGGAAGCCTGACCGGGGGAGCGGCGGGGGTGCAGTCCCCGCCAAGCACGACGAGGCGCACAAAGGGAGCCATCCGGGGCCGCCGGCCAAGCTCGCACCCGCTCCGCGCCGTCCTCCCGCGGCCTCCTCAGTACCTGCCGAGGCGCGCGGCCGCTCCGGGAGCCGAGCCAGGCCGAGCGCGCCGAGCGCACGGGGGCGGCTGCAGCCGACCCAGCAGGCCCGGGACCGCGGGGGCAGAGCAGGGGCTCGGTGAGCGGTGAGCGCGGCAGGAGCGAGAGAAGCAGCCGCCGCCAGCACGGGCTCTGTCGGGTGGCTCAACCTCCAGTGTCGCAGGGGCACGCGCCACATGCGCGCTACAGCGCAGACGCACGCACACGCAGCTGCACGTCATCCCGTCTGCGCACGGACACGCAGAGCTCAGAACTCTGGGAAATGGAGTCCCAGGACCGAGAACTCTGGGAAATGGAGTCCAGGCCCAGGGCCGTCCTAGAGAGCAGACCGGGGTAGGCTTCACTGCCACTGGGCAGGGGAAGGCTGAACAGAACAACTTGACAACATTTATTTCTGTTTACATCCGCCCACCCTTTACCCCAGCTCCTCTTCCCGCAATGAAAAAAAACAATCCCAGGAGAACTAGTTACTCTCTCCTGAACCAAAACCTTTATGCAGGATACCCACTGCTGAAAACCAACCCCCAATTCTGGCTTTTTCTGAACAATATCTTCTTCCAGAAAAGTCGTACTTGCAGTTTTGTTCCTGGACGGCCTCTTGGGGTACCTGCCTGTAAATGTGAGAACGAACACAATATCGAAAAGCACAGATTGCCATCAATTATGCAAGAATAAATCTTACATGTGTTTTGTTGGTATCTGAGGTCTTTTCACACCATTTTACATCCCCCTATGATTCACCAAGTACAGAAAAATAAACAGGGAACTAAAAAGGGAAATAACTCCTGAGTGACTACTTCATTCCACCCCAAGATGTATGCTGGAGAAGGCACCGCCAGTAATTTACAAGGAGGAAACAGAGGTGGACAAGGCTTTGTAATTCACCCAGGAGGATAAGGTTCTTAAGCCTAGGAGAGAGGCTAACTGAGCTCTAATACTAGTTTGAAAAGTCATTCTTTGGTGGCTCAGTTTATAAAATCTGGGATTCCTCATCTGAGAAAAAAGGAAGAGTAAGGAGGTCTGGCATTAGTGGTAGCCCATGGATTAAGCCAGCATGACACGGGCCGGGCTGCTCCTCTTCAGATGCAGCGACCTGCAAATGAGCCCTGAAAAGCAGCAGAGGACGGCTCAAGTCTGCAGGCTTCTGCAGGTTCCCGTTTTCAGCTTCACCCAGCTGTGGCCAAGGTGGCCATTTGGGGATTGAACCAGTGGATTAAAGAGTGCTCCCTCTCCCTCCGTCTCCCTCTCCCGGCAGACTGGGCTGAAGCTGGTCACTGTTGTGATGCCCCTTGTAGCTAGGAAGGGGGCTTGTGCATTAGAACCCATGTGGTTAGGCCAGCTGAAACGGAGCCAGGACACTCGGGTTTGAACCCAATATCCTGTCTGTATAGCCTGTGTGTATATGAGCAGGCATGGTGAGATGGTGGAGTTCAGATCTGGTCTTAGGATGGAGTCAGCTTGCTCTTTCTTTCTTGAAGGTTTTTAAGGGGCCCTCTGCCCAGTAGAGGACAAAGGAAAGAGTTAGAAATCTATTTCGTGGCTGGAATAGTGAATATAAAATCTATTGTTCTAAGGGGCCAGTGAGGTGGCCTTGTATGTTAATCCTTTACTCTCTAACACCAGGATCCCATAGGAACGCGGGTCCATGTCCTAGCTGTTCCACTTCCAATCCAGCTCTCTGCTTACGGCCTGGGAAAGCAGCAGCAGATGGCCTAAGTCCTTGGACGCCTGAGCCCATGAGGGAGGCCCAGCAGCAGCTCCTGGCTCCCAGCCTGGGATCAGTCCAGCTCTGGTCATCGCAGCCATTTGGGAAGTGAACAAGCAAATGAACACCTTCTCCATCTCTCCGCAATAATTTGCCTTTCAAATAAAAAGAAACCTTTTTAAACTATTGTTCTAATACAAGATTGATAAAAGGCACATTAGTGATTACAGTAGGATGAAATGTATGAACAGGAACCATGCAGACTAAACACACTGAATGGTCATTGGGGCTCTGCAAGGTGTTTTATTCATCTATCCATTACAGAGAAATTTAAAAGGTAGAATCAACTAAGTTTTGGCACTTAACTATGATGGGTTATGGCAGAAGGGAATTTTTCTGTAAATTCTATGTAGGATTTTTATTACTTAAAGGGCAAAATGTTGTCAATGCATTTATGCTTTCAATGGAAAAACAGCTTGTCGGGTTCCTTAAGGACAGGTTTGCCTAAGTCCAGGTAGAATTTCATGCTCTGGGCCCGGCGGCATGGCCTAGCAGCTAAAGTCCTCGCCTTGAACACGCCAGGATCCCATATGGGCGCCGGTTCTAATCCCGGCAGCTCCACTTCCCATCCAGCTCCCTGCTTGTGGCCTGGGAAAGCAGTCAAGGACGGCCCAAGGCTTTGAGACCCTGCACCCGTGTTGGAGAGCCGGAAGATGTTCCTGGTACCTGGCTTTGGATTGGCGCAGAACCGGCAGTTGCGCTCACTTGGGGAGTGAATTATCAGACGGAAGATCTTCCTCTCTGTCTCTCCTCCTCTCTGTATATCTGACTTTGTAATAAAAATAAATAAATCTTTAAAAAAAAAAGAATTTCATGATCTGTGCTATACATAAGTGCTACATCACTGTTGAGGCGGCATTTTTAGCTGATACCACGTGCGCTGGTCTTTACTGTGATGCTGTTACTTAGAAACTAAGAGGATCACCAAAAGAACAGTTTAAGTGAAAACTTAAATCTAAAGCCCCCACGAGATTTTATAATACAAAGTTGAACTAATGCACAGTTTATATGTCCTCCAACTTCAGCTGCCCAAAGCATAATGAAGTAGGAAGTAAGTTAAAAGAAAAGAAAAGAGAAGAAAAGAAAAGAGAAGAAAAGAAAAGCCCTAGGATATTCAAAATAAATGCTACATAGCCCTGAGGAACCCCGCCTCTGGCTCAGCAGCATGACTGGCGAATACACAACCTCTCCCGGCCTTTCGGGGACGGTGAGCGGCTTTACACCAACTACAGCAAAAGGCAGTAGACACGCAGGGGGAGACCTGGAAAGCACTGGAACAACGGTGCTGGGAAGGCCTCTGATGGAATGCGGTGCAGAGCAGCCATCAATCGATTTCTGACAGAATGCCTTGCCATCAGCTGCCTCGGGACCGTAGAATTGAACATCAAGGGATTTAAGGCCAATATCCATGATGCCCTTAGCAACAGCGCGGTGCAGTAGCCTGGCTCCATGGGCACAGTGAAGGCTTATGGGAAACATTTCTAGAGACCGTTGCTTCTTACAGGGGCATGTGGCAACTTAGACATTGCAAGAACAATGCAACAATGCCGACAGAAGCTCTTTTTCTACTGAAATCTGGCACACATGGCAGGTTCAGGAATATCAGCATTGCTGCAGAGGAGTCCCACAGAAGCCCAGGGAGTCAGACTCCCACTGGAAAGAGACCCCAGGAGGAAGCTACTAATGAGTGGATTTAGAAAGACAGGAGGAGGCTTTTCTAGAAGATAGGAAAGCTCAGGGCTGGCTCAGTGGCCTAGTGGCTAAAGTCTTCGCCTTGAAAGTGCCAGGATCCCATATGGGCACCAGTTCTAATCCCGGCAGCTCCACTTCCCATCCAGCTCCCTGCTTGTGGCCTGGGAAAGCAGTCGAGGACGGCCAAAAGCTTTGGGACCCTGCACATGTGTGGGAGCCCCAAAAGAGGTTCCTGGCTTCGGATTGGCTCAGCTCTAGCCGTTGCAGCCACTTGGAGAGTAAACCATCAGATGAAAGATCTTTATTTTTAAATATATCTTTTTAGAAAAGAAAAAAAAAACATCAACTAATACTTGATTCACTGCTGAACAGCACTGTGTACTGGTAATTTTAAATAATAACCTTATATTTTCTTCCCCCAACATCTTTTGATATTTTAGCTTTGAAAAACTTGCTGTTAAAAAAAAAATTGCTGTGGTTCCCTGAGTTTTGATCCACATATAAGTTTAGCAAACTGGAACATTACTCTTAAATAAAGAATGTGAAAAGCTTCCAGTTGCGCCGTCGGGCCTGCCAGCTGCACGCCCTGTGACTGGAAGAGGACAGCTCAGAAGGGGCTGGTCCCAACTGAATCTGAACTGCAACACTGCAACAAGGTGGAGGGATCCACCATGGGGGGAGGGCGTGGGGAGGGGCTGGGGGAGTCCCAGAGCCTGTGAGACAGTGTCGCATAATGCAATGTAATCAATAAAAAAAGTAATATTAAAAAGAAGAAG